ATTGTTATACTGTAAACATTTTTGTAAAACTTCTAGTGTAACCTATTTGGTTGAACTCAAAGGTACTGCAATATGAAATCATCCCGTTTAAGCGATGCGAGTAATCTTCTCAAACGTTCATTGTTTATCGACTTATTGACCCTTTGCTGCTGTGTGTTCATGAGCTAGCGAGCGAAGCCAAATTTTAAATATTTTTGAGGTCACATTGCGACCGATTAGTTCTCATTATTACATGAAATAACAGATCATGACGGGGTTTTAAAAGGGAATCCAACCCTTGTAATAAGTTCGTTCGTATAAAAGCAGTAAATTAAGATAAACAGAATGGCAAAAATTTGAAACGAATTGGACTGATAATAATGAAGGTATGAATGGTTAAATATAAGATCACTAAGTCTCTGCGAATCTCAACAAATTGTATCGTGGTCAGTGGATTGGAACGTAGTAGGCGCAGAAAACTATCCCGTTTGTTTTGAACAAGAATTATACACTGTTGGTCATAATGGTGGAATAATAATTTTTTACCCCAATTTATTGAATGATTTTGACAATGATTTATTCCTAATAGATCTAGATAATAGTATACATTCTCAAATTTTATTGAATGACAATTGGGGAGTGTTTGTTTTGCGTGACTGCTAAAGCATGTGTGTGCTACTATGCTAATCAACTAGGGGACCTACGTCCTTAAGTCATAACTGACAGTAATGGGGATTAATACCTCATACAAGGACACTAATATAGCACATCGACACGGTTTTTATCCTGGGGGCTCACAGTAACGAGGCCATTGCTTAGCCAATGAATCATGACTGTGCGCAGCGGGCGCTAGGGTACGTCGACGCCCTCACAAAAACAAAAAAAACAAAGAAAATGCAATAAATTTGCAATAATTCATTGCATTTCCCCCAGTCCCCAACAGGAAAAATTCCTCTGTAGGGCCATGCATTATGGTTTAAGGCATGCCCACATAGAAGATTTTTTTATGTTGGGGGTCGGGGCATTAGGCATAATCTATTAGGAATAAATCATTGTCAAAATCATTCAATAAATTGGGGTAAACAATAATTATTCCACCATTATGACCAACAGTGTAATTGATTCATTTTTTTCTCCTAAGTGCCTTCTTTCTTAGGGCACTACTCAAAATATTTTAAGGATATCATATTATTAGGTCCTCTAAACAAAAAAGACCCTCTCGCTTCATACATTTTCGGAAAATTGACATTTTAGTCATTTCGGGAAAGTTTTCCAGGGCTAAATCACGGAGACATTACCGATGTAGCCATTTTGAAGAGCCCATACCTATAGTGATTAAAATTTTAAACAATTCGTAACTTTCTAAAAAAATAATTGTCCAGTTTCTTTCAAAGTCCAATTTGTTTTAATTGCTTTCCTCTAAAATGGAATTCTTGCTTCGGGTAATTCAAACACTGCATATAATAATAGTAATAATTATATTCATATGTAAAGCGCAATAACTATGTGGATATATTATAATGCGCTGCAAGAGCTCGTAAATGCTGTGCTATACAAACAATATGAACAAGTGAGTTTTCAGTCTTGATTTAAAATTATCTAATGATGGGGCTTTCCACATAGAAATGTGCAACATAAATCTGTCGTGTGTACTACGAAGGTTACGACCATGAGTTTGAGACTTGATATGCATCAAGGAGTTTGACCATTTAGACCATTTAGAGCTTGTGATTATCTGGCGAACTGTCAACCAGTGTAGTTCTTTTAGAAGTGGGGTTATTCGAGAGGATTTTAAGAGGCTGCAAATTAGTCGTGCACATGAATTTTTGACCCGCTGCAACTTGAAAATTTGTGAGTCTGGCAATCCATACAATAATCTAGTTTACTAGTGACACATGCATGCATGATTGTTTTCATGCTGTCCTGATCAAAGTATTTATGAATGCGTCTCAAATTATAAATCATGAAATAGGCTGATTTGCATATTTTAGTAATATGTGAATCCATATTCAAGTGGGTATCAAAGAAGACACCTACATTTTCTAACAGTATCATATGGGGTTATGGTGGAGTCGCCAACTGATGCACTACAGTACCAATGACCAAAAGTTCAGTTGTTTTATTATTTAGCATCAACCTGTTTTGCAACATCCAAATTCTAATATAAACAACACATGTTTCTAATTCAGAAATACAATGATCTTCAGCCGGTGTGTAAGGACTAGAAAACTCCATATGGATATTTCTAAGGATTCTGATTGTATATAATATAAACAACAGAGGGTCTACACGCGACCCTTGAGGGACACCAAAAGGCACATTGAATACATCAGAGACAATATTATCAATTTCAATTTTCTGTTTTCTATCTGACAAGTAAGATTCAGTCCATTCGATAACCTTGCCATCAAGCCCAAAATTGTTTCTTAGAGTTTTCAGTAGACATGAATGATTTATCGTGTCAAAAGCACTGCTCAAAGCACTGCCTTCTACTAACTTAGAAATAAACTGAAGATTACTAATGGCCCTAAATTACTCAATTCTGTTTCGAGGCCCGGCCTCTTCAAGAGTGGTTTCACTAGAGTGACCTTCCACAAAGCAGGGAATTGCCCTGCTGATAGAGACAAGTTCAACATAGAAGTAATAACAGGTATCAATACATCGAGACATTGCAGTAATAATTGTGTGGGCATTGGGTCCAATGGACAGGAATTCTTACTGAGCTTCATTATCAATTTCCTGACGTCTCGCTCAGACAGTGATTTAAAACTTGTGAGCGTTATTATCTGCGAAACGACTGGAATGTCATCAGTGATCAGTTTGTCTACATGCATATTGATAAGTTTTAAATTCTATATCGTTATAAATTTTCTGAACTTTATCCAAGAAAAACTTGCCCAAGTTGTCGATGAATGATTTTGAATCAACGTTACCAGGTATAATGGGTTGTTTATTTGACATGTTTAACAAACCCTTCACAATATTGAACAAGGCTTTTGTGTTTTCTTTATATTCAGACACTAGATCTTTATGGTGACTCTTCCGTGCCTCATACAATTAGAAGGAGAAAGAGTTACGAACAGACTTTAATAACTGCTTTCCTGTCTTTGTCTATTTTTTTATTTCATCAACATATTTGCAGCTTTCCTTTTTTTCTTCTTCTTTTCTTCTAAAATACTAACAATTCTTTTAAAGAAACGTGTACTCAGAGGGATAAATAATGCTAACTATTACTAACATACTGACCCTTAAATGTATGGCTGATGGTAGTTCTCGGCGCGATAACTGAAACATGAATATGGCGAGATTTGAAAATGTTAAAAAGTTGTCTGTCGATAATTAAAGATAACGATCAGTTCTGGTCATGCGATTGCATTGTGAAAGAAACGTTGTGGAATCGATCAAAAAAGGTTGACCATCTAGCATATAAGTATTGGTGTGTACTGCAAGGTTCTGGAATCATCAAAATGATAAGAAATTGGCCCAGTCTTGGTAAAGTTACAAGCACTTTATACAGAAAGATGTATATGGGACTACTCGTTACGTGCGCGATATCTATCAGGTCCAAATAGATATACTAATTTTTCCAAATATATCAATTAGTAGGCGGCTAGCTTCTAGGCAAAATTTGTATCATCACGTATTAGTCAAAACATATTCTTTCACATGATTGTCAATAAGAGCTTCCATTTCATTTTTTGAGGAGGGGGCGTTTCCAAAACTGGTCTTTATCTTTAATTATTGACAGACAACTTTTTAACAGTTTCAAATTTCGGCATATTCATGTTTCAGTTATCCCGCCGAGAACTCCCATCAGCCATAAATTAACTCTTTACAAAAAATGGCGCTATACACATTCCGTTCTAAAACTTCCTATGCTATCTCCCATTGTACGTCTGACTCCTATTCTTTACCTTCTCTTCCTATTTCTATATCTTCTTACATCCACCATCCATATAATTTCATTGTTTTTGTATGTATGCTTTTCTATAATTGATACTTGCTTTTTTTTTGTCCCTTTCGATTATTATACTTCTATACCTGACTATGTATGACACTGTATCAACAACAAAAATAATAAAGGCTATGCATTTTATCAAGTTCCCTTTTATCACAATTATCTAGTGTAAATGCAATACAAACTCCATAATTTGATTTTAACAGTTCGTTTTCACTGGCTGCCTGCCGTAGCAACAATCATGATTGACAAGAGACTTAACTCCGTTTCGTCTATGGCTGATCTTTAACAAAACGGAATTGTCTTTTGTCAATTTCGTTTTTTGCTAGGGCAGGCAGCCAGTGAAAACGAATTCGTTTTAATGATCAAATTATGGAAAATCAAGCATCACATAAACAAACAGAAGTTTTTTATTCCTTGCTCATTTTTCCTGATTGAGGTGTCATATGAAAGGTCAAAAGCTAAACTTTCTAGATTTGTGTTTTTTCTTTGAAATTCAGATACCGTCCGCCAAATAACTTTCTGGTTCCCTCTCTTCAAATTGATTTTAATCACTCATGCGTGAAATGTGTATCGTATGAGTTGCATCAAATGAAAGAGGAAGATCTAAGATTTACCAATATGTATCATTCATTAATTATAATTTTGATTACGATATGATAGAACATCGATAATTCTCGGTTTTATTTTTTCTTGGACGCACTGTACATGAATGTCTAAACACACATCAAATGGGGTCCTTAGGGAGTAGTAGTCCTAGGGGAGAATTATCTGGGAGTGATTGTCCTCGGGGGTGGTTGTCTTTCTGGGGATTATCCGGGGGGTAATAGTCCTCAGGGGCGTAATTTTCCCGTTAATTTTGAAGGGGTGATTGCCTAGAGTGTAATTAACCTGATACCTGAAATCACCTGTTTGTGTAACAGGGGTGTAAGGATATACATCTTACACATATCAATGGCCAGGGTGTACCAACAACTCTGATTAGGATTCTACACAAGGTACATGTAGGGGTTTTGGTAAAGCTCTTCCAGATGTGTTAAAGAATTGTGTACATGCTGTATTTTTACTCACCTACGTTCTCCTGGAAAATTAGAAAATCTGCCTCATCTTTCAAATCATCTTCGCTTAAGGTCTTCAAAAGGGTTTTCCTTGTGGACCCCTCAGCGCAAATGATGACTTCAACATGGATCTTGTCTTTGCCGTTTTTCACATCGATTCCTGCACATTTCACTATCTTAGCATGAATTGTCATACTCTCTTTGTTGCTGTTATCTTCACTAAGTTCTGTGGTCGCCTTGGAGGGTTTTGCCTGCCTTTTACGAACTTTAGGTTGGTCTGGCAAAAGTCTAACGAAGGACTTTATTGTGCTGACCACAGGGGCATCATTCATAGGATCTCCAGCTTCACAGAACATGACATGGGCTGAACACTCAATTACAGTGGGTTGTTTCTCCTTGAAACGTTCCTCGAGGTCATTGGTTCTCTCCGCCCCAGTGACAATGACTGCAACACGATCTCTACCTGCAGAAATGAATGGAAAAAATCTGTGAATCGATCATTTACAACATATACACATTGCAAGTTAAAACCTAAATGTACTACTGATTGAACTGTGCCTAATTTGAGAAAAAATATCCCGTCACTAAATATCGGGTGTAATGTTTGTGAAAAATACTTCTTATCAACAAATGGTTTTGTCCCATTCACCATACCTGTGTGAAAAAAGTGTGCTGCAAATATACGAAAAATCGTGTCCTATTTGTTTGTATACGAATAAATATTATCACAAGAGCTTGTACGCAATGGTAGCGCTCGAAATCAGCCTGTGTCGCGGTGAGGTGTGTCTGCGTGAAATCCTGTCTCTTAGACAAATCTCGCATAGCGATAGTAGTCTAGCAAACACATATAGCGCATTCTACCGGTGAGATATGTCTCCAAGATCGGCGAGCACAGTCCGCAATTTGCGAAAAGTGTATACTGGTCAATTAACGTTATTTTGTTAGATATCGTTATATTTGTTTTGGGGGCATAACATTTTGATAACATAAAGGACCAAGTCATACTAATCAAATTGTAGAGAATATTATGAAACAAACAAATTGTTTCCAGCCCTGTACCCCCTACCTCTCACCCCCTCCCCTCCCAAATGAATCAATAAATTGAAAGAGGTCATTGACTTAAAACATTGAGTAAGATTGTCTTCTCGTCGAAATCGTCGAATGTAAATGTAAGTGCTAATATATTTATAATCATACTCATGACAATTATTCAAGTTTTTTCAAGATATCTTTACATTCCATTGTTTGTCATAACACGGCGATATTTGAATTATTGAAGTGTTATGTATGTAATGTAAAATATGTGAATTTTAATATATTCCTAATCATACTGTCTCATACACAGCCATAACATTATTTACTTCTGCATATTCAAAATACAGGTCTGAAGTCTTAGACTGGGCACGCGGAAATGAGGTGATACGTCCAGATACGTCAATCAGCGCTATATATATATATATATATGTATATATATATAGCTATTGTAGGTTTACCATGTGTTAGTACATTTGCAGATTAAAGATGTGGTACGAGTGTACTTAAAAAACGATTGACGGTTAATGAAAGAAATACATTTTCAACTAATCACTTACCAAACTAAGTCTTAATTTTAAATTTGAATATAATGAGCTGTTTAAATACGATTTGTGTCCAATTCAAATATTGAGCTCTATTTTCTAGATTTGATATCATTAATATTGTTCATTATCATACTTAAATCGTGAAGTTCTCTCCTTGCTACCTACAGGAAATAATGTCATTAAAACCACGACATTCTTAAAGTAGACATTCATTGATTTTAAATATTGATTTAATTTATATCGTTTAACCCTATTAAGCCCGGGGGAAGGTTAAACCGAACGAGGTTATCGAAATTTCCCGTTTGGAAACATTCAAAGTAATGATTATTATTAATTTTAACACGGTAAAATATAGCCCCACTTTCGCGCTTGAAGAGCTCTCCAACTACTGCGGGGATTTCTGACGTAACGCAAGGGACCATATTAATATAAACAGACGATGTCCCATAACAATGCATATGTTTTAAGTGCTGGCATCATCGTCTCCCCTTCACTTATTTTCCTTACTTAGCCAGTGTTATTCTAACTGTTCAATCTGTTGCCTCACTCTTCATTTCGGACATGGTTTTATTTTGATGAAAAATGCAGCGTTTGAAAAAAATAATATAAAGGAATCAGATGTAGTTTCATTATGGTTTTACACCACTGTACATTAAGATGCATATACGCATTTCATTAAAATACTCACTCTGTATATGAATTACTGGATTTTACTGTTTCTCTTTGAAACCATCTACATGTATCCTACCCAGCCACTCACTTTTCCTTCAAGCACATGAACATACACGTAATTATACAGTATATGCGTAATAAATGTCCTAATTTAATTTGCATATTTACTACATTATGTGCTAATTTGAATTTCATAGGCTGTTTTTGGTGAAACTGGTCATTACTAGTTTTGAAGTAACCCGGAAGCTCAAATGGCACTACCTGCTACCTACAAGAAATGAATTTTGAATAATGATAAAAAGAAATTGATGGAATATAATACTAAACAAACTATACTGTAATACATTGTACTGCTCAACCTTACCACTCCCCTCGCATCCACACTCCACCAATGGCCAATCAATACCCTTTTCCAGCACATAAACACATTATTATGAATTTCGCACTATAACTCATATCGTTCCACACTTCATAAAACGGTGAAATTTCTGTAGAATTAGGGCCAAACTTGACCTCCCTGTTAGGTTCCCCGTGCACATTCTTTAAAAGGTGGTCCGAATGGTGGTGGAGCTTCTTTCAAAGTGGGCTTGCACCAACAGAAATGGCACTTTCTGGTTTTAAAAATCCGTGGATTTTAACACAGATCTTTTGAAATCGTATAACTTTGCTGTAATTAATAGCAGTGCTTATTTGAATTCTTCATTTGATCTACATAATTTGATAACCATATATGATCATTATCATATCATATTATCTACTGGGTTTATGAAGTCAACTTAAATCGATGAAAGTAAATACAACAATATATTTGTTCTGGTTGCCTTTAATCTAAAATAACTTAGATCCCTAGGACCCCTTCCCTGCCTCTCCCGTCAGATTAAGCCAAGTCAGAAAGTCTATGAAAACCTGCTATCATGTCTACCATTCACACATCAAACATCGTGAGTAATCTTGGGGTACTTACCGAGGAGATTCTTCCAGTAAGGGAGAAGTTTTTGATAGCGTGCATCTTTTACGTCTGTAAGGGACATTCTGCCACAGAAGACTGAATGAATCAATATCACGCCATCGTATTGAGAGAAATCATGTCCATTTTCCAATATTCTACTTGATATATTTACGTAATTTACGCATACTCCGCACTGTTCTTTCAAAACCGATATGAAGTGCTCATACTTATCGTCGGATCGAGCTAAAGAACAAACTGCAACCGTACCTTTTCCAGCCATTGTCCTGGTAATATTACGATTTAAAATGAGGCTCAACCACGTCGCTGCTATAATATATCATCAAATAGATGTGGGCGGTCTTAAGAAAGGGGCGGGTCAAAGCGATAGTATTTGTATGCAAATTATGACTTCGTAGGCGTGACCTGCAACAATTTTGAAAGCATAGCGTTATGATTATTGAGTCAGTATTCTGATGTTCGCAATGTTATAAGTTCGTGTAACGCTTATAGTATTCACTTCGTCAAGAATTTCTTTATATTGGGCCGTGTTTTAACTAAAGAAAGTATTGGACAAGGAGAAGGAATTTTGTGTCCTCTTCATCTCATAATCATGGAAAACACAATTTGCTGTATGCTTGTCGGATCTGCTGGCGCAGGGAAGTCGTCTTTTATCAACACGTTGATAAAGTACGTCAAAACAACTAAGGAGTCAGGGCAGAATTGTAATAGCTACATACCGACGGCAAAGTCACACGCAATGGGAGGACATACCATGACACGAGAGCCGGTCAAATTGACAGACGACCTGATTATAGTAGACAATCGTGGATGGCATGACTGGAACAACAAAGCTGCCTTGAAAGAGCTATCTGCTCAAATTCGTAAGTAAATCTCTTCGGAGGTTGGGTGGAAGGGGTATGAAACGTAAACTATCATTTTCTGCACTTTTAATTAAACGACCGATACATGAGAAAAGGCACATTAGTAGAAATTGAAACAATGTAATTCGCAACACATTAAACTGTCAAATATATTTTGGTTCATACTTAACATGCTTAATGATATGTCCCTGACCATGCAAAAGGTCATCGTTCTTCCATTTCTTTATTTGGATTGCTTTGTAGCTAGCAGGCGACCAATGCTTTGTACTCATCCTCGTTCTGAAATCTTATTACATTGACACCCTCGTCAATTCCTGGTATTTGCATGGTCGTGTACAGGCGAATAATTCAATTCAATTTCAACTTTATTAATTTATCATCCAACAATATAAAAACACATGTAACAGTCAACAATACACAAATTGACAAAAATAATGGATGAAAGGATACCTTAATAAAAAGCACAATGCTTGTCAAACAGAAGGCATCTGATCATACCATTTCGGAATGATAACTCAAGTCCTTGTACTTCTTCTAAAACATTGTGACCATGCACCACATAACCACCAAAATTCACAAGTCGTCAACAGTCAGAAACATTCAAATCACAATTGAAAACTTGTATTTTCGTTTGCATTATGGCAATATTCTAATTTACTATGTCTAAGAGAATTTCGAATTTCTTTTTTTGTTTTATCTTTCTTATGTTTTTGTATATGTATTTTTCTCTAGGCGCCAAGAGCACCGAAAGGTGGACCTGTGCGCTATACAAGTAGCCACTATTAGTATTATTTGTATTATTAAGTACAAAAAAACTTTACCCAAATACAAATTTGTGTTATTCACTATATAACCGTGTACAAATCAATCGAATGTGAAATCGCTAAAAGGAAGTCAAAAAAGATTAGCACAGGGGTAAATTTATTTTTTTAAAGAGACAAATCTATGCAAATGGTCCTCCAAACAGAGGGAGGGTGCCAGCCAAGACCAACCTAAACGGTGTCTCTTTCGTTATCTAATTTGTGTTACTTTGTTTTGCTATTGTTTTCTGGAATCTTGTCTTCTTTTTCCCCCTTTTCGATTGGATTTGTTGGTGTTGTTTGTTTTGTTGGTGTCTTGTCTCTCCGATCTTTTTTCCTGTACATAAGAAAATGATTGTCCGAGCTTATTATTGTTATTTTAAGTTGAATGACCTGTGATTCTTTGTATGCACATGTAATTTTCAATGTACCGAGTAAAACTTAAAGGGATAGTTGAATTATGTTGCATAGGGCGCTACACAACATATTTTGTTTGTAAGATAATGAAAAACTGAGTGTCGAATTTGAAAGAACATACAATTTGTTTGATCAAAATGGGTTCAGAGACGGCTGAAATATCCATAAATATAACGATTTCTAATACCTGTGTACCACCATAAATATTAGATCATTTGAAAAAGCCGTTGAAAAAACGAAATAACGCCTTTTTACGTCGTATTTTAGCCAATGCCGATCTTGGCATTTTCGTGTTAGTTATATTATTACGCACAACCAGCCGGCCCATGCGTTGTTATTTGTAATTAAATAGTTAATGAACGGTCATCGTATTTTGGGGAAAGTAGAGCCGAATTGGTATGATCGTATTGGCTAAATTTCACACGTTTTGGGGTCTAAAGTTACCTTCATAGCAATGTTGGGTTCTAAAAGGGCACTAGAAATGTCATAGATAAGAATAAGAGCAATAACCATGCACTTTGAAGGCATTTGCGGTCTGAAAACAGAACTCAACTATTCCTTTAAACATAAAGAAACAAGGTTTTTAATTATATATTATACTGTATGTTGACATTTCAAAAATTACTATGTTCAGTATGTTCCCAGCAAATTGTATATATATTAAATATATTTATATAGTATGTATACGTGAATGAAAAAAAATGTGCCTTGATAAGACCAATAAAACAACTTAAATTGTTTTTTAAATCGATAAGTGTGTTTCCTGTTACAGAGAAATAAAGGTCTATTCGGTCAGGATACTTTGATTTTAGGTTTCTATGTTATTTGATAAATAAGAAATACAAGTTTTGGGGTCTAAAGTTACCTTCATAGCAATGTTGGGTTCTAAAAGGGCACTAGAAATGTCATAGATAAGAATAAGAGCAATAACCATGCACTTTGAAGGCATTTGCGGTCTGAAAACAGAACTCAACTATCCCTTTAAACATAAAAAACAAGGTTTTTAATTATATATTATACTGTATGTTGACATTTCATAAATTACTATGTTCAGTATGTTCCCAGCAAATTGTATATATATTAAATATATTTATATAGTATGTATACGTGAATGAAAAAAAATGTGCCTTGATAAGACCAATAAAACAACCTAAATTGTTTTTTAAATCGATAAGTGTGTTTCCTGTTACAGAGAAATAAAGGTGTATTCGGTCAGGATACTTTGATTTTAGGTTTCTATGTTATTTGATAAATAAGAAATACAAGTTTTGGGGTCTAAAGTTACCTTCATAGCAATGTTGGGTTCTAAAAGGGCACTAGAAATGTCATAGATAAGAATAAGAGCAATAACCATGCACTTTGAAGGCATTTGCGGTCTGAAAACAGAACTCAACTATCCCTTTAAACATAAAAAACAAGGTTTTTAATTATATATTATACTGTATGTTGACATTTCATAAATTACTATGTTCAGTATGTTCCCAGCAAATTGTATATATATTAAATATATTTATATAGTATGTATACGTGAATGAAAAAAATGTGCCTTGATAAGACCAATAAAACAACTTAAATTGTTTTTTAAATCGATAAATGTGTTTCCTGTTACAGAGAAATAAAGGTCTATTCGGTCAGGATACTTTGATTTTAGGTTTCTATGTTATTTGATAAATAAGAAGTACAAAACAAGTGAAGAATGGTATTTGGCATCTTAGCTAGTATTTCTTAAGTCATCATAAATTGTACATTTGATTAATTACTAGATGGCAAAAGATCACTTGACGATGATGTTAAATGGGATGAAGATAGCAACTCATCTACCGACGACGAATCAGAGATACCGCTGGCACTTACGGATAAAGTAGACTGCACAACTCTCGTCTTAAAGTAAGTGAGATTATACTATTTGTACACTGTAAGAAAAATGATTCTTGATAACCAATAAAAGTTCCCGAGGGTCTCACAATAGGGAAATCGTTTTGGGGTGTCCATGGGTGTTTTTTCTTCTTCAGGTGAGCACCTCTGTGCGGTTATGCCCAGCAGTACCCTTTACATATAAAATAGTGCTCACGTAGGGGATGCTCGTTAGCCCAATTAATCAAAAAGGTGCCTATTTCTCTATATATAGGGTATGCATAAGGGCCCATATTTATAAAGAAAAAACCTTTCTAAGATAGCTGCCAGCTAAGCCCTAGTACCCTACTATAATTTTCGATTAGTTATTAAATATGTATTGTAGATTTCTTTATCATATCATTATAACCTGAATCGCAAAAATTCTTCGAATTAGATGAATGTATGCTCCTTTTAAATGTGATTGGCTTAAACAAACACCAACTTTGATATATCTGTAAATATTGGAAACAAATTAAATTGTTGCCCTGATCAAAAGAATTAATTTCAATTTAGACTTATATTAATAAATTTTGTTTCTTAATACCAGCTATTTGGGTAGTACCGTGAAAGACTTGACCATTATATTTCAGAAAAGTCAATATAACACTTTTTATTTACACGACCCATTGCACAAACATCGATGTTTGAATTCTTGTTAATGTTCCCTCCAGCTGTTATACATTTTTCCCGGGAATATTGCTTGGTTGCCTGTTTAATCATATTGCTAACTTAATTCCGCCTTTCTTTCTTTTTTTGGTGCTTCCTTTCGATATGGTGTGATTTGATTTTATAATATAATCGTTATAAACGACATTCTTTATAGACAAAATTTGGAATATCAAGATTTCTAGGTGCTCTTTTCAAACATTCTTCAGGGAAACTCATGTTGAAAATTGAGCACACATGTAGTTTACAATTACAAATATCAAGTTGAAAAAATGTTGTATTCCTTGCTATAAATAATTACGTAATTCAATATAACTGTATAAAAGCAAAATCATGATTGTACGATACCATAACCTAATACATCGGATTAGAAAACATAACAAAAGAACAAAAAAGGCTATTCATGAGAAAGTTTCGGAAACGAAAACGGTGTATTCTGAAATCGATCCCTAGCTGCGGCCCCTAAAATGGTCCATTTGTGTACGTCTGCATAAACTTATGAAGCCAGAGGGGGTAGGGGTGTTGAAACCCTTCTTCATCCACCGAGATTTTAGTATTGGCCAGCTTCCAGTATCCACCATCTTATTTCTAGTCTGTGAGATGGTATCTTCTTACTTTTTGCATCTTGTTACAGTCAAATATTTGATAACCAAATTTACACCTCCTGAAAGAGAATGTAAGAATAAATACTTTGTAACTTTGCTCGTTCGCTCGCACAATTGAGAAATCCGGTAGTATAAATTCCGACAAGAGACATCAGCCCTGTATGCTTATGTATTTATTTTAACTCTATGACCCCGGAACGTGATTGTAGAATTATTTTATTAGTTAAACAAGATTGTATGCCCTGCATTTTAATTTAAATTCAATTGTATTCGTCCAAATAAAAATGAATTGAAATTTTACAGGTGATTCTTCACACGCAATTTAATACATTTACAGTGCGTCCAAGAAAAAAACGAAACCGAAACTTAGTACATCTATAATTAATAAATGACACATATTTGGAAAGCTTAGATCCTCCTCTTTCATTTGATGCTACTCATATAGTGCATATATTACGCATGAGTGATTAAAATGATTTTGAAGAGAGGAAACCAAAAAAGTCATTTGGCGGACGGTATCTGAATTTAAAGGAGAAATCACATTTCTAGAAAGTTGAGTTTCTGCCCTTTTATATGACACCTCAATCAGGAAAAATGAGCAAGAAATAACAAAGTTCTGTTTGTTTAAAGTAGTGCTTGCATTTCCATAATTTTATCAAATGAATTCGTTGATTCGCTGGCTGCCTGCCGTAGCAGCAAACAGAGTTGACAACAGACTTAACTCCGTTTCGTTGACAATCAGCCGTAGATGAAAGACTCCATGCATGGCTGATTGTCAACGAAATGGAGTTAAGTCTGTTGTCAATTCAGTGGGTTACATCAAGATATAATACATAGTAGGAACAATGCATAAACAAAAATGTTTGAAGTGATGCCTTCCTGTTCTCTTTACTGTTATATACTATCCTACATACGCTTGTGGTGGGTGTGCAGCCAACCTATAGGTTTAAGAACTACTTATTAAGGGCGGATGAGCTCATACAGAGCCAGCGGCCAGCCATCATGTAAGAGTTTGATACCTCACCATGACCACATGACCGTAACATTTTGACTTCACGTTAATCAGTAATGATACCTGAATTGATATCGATCCTTCGATCGCATAATATGTACTTTTCTTTCCTCCCCTTTCCATAATCTTTTCACTGCCGTATTTCTTCCTTCCCTGTCTCATTTTATCGCAAAACGTTTATTCTTACAGTCAACTGAGGATTTCTGTTTAAATAATGTTATAGTAAATAGGTTTATGTAGACTATCGTCTATAATGCATACATGCTCTTGTTCAATACCTTTATCATTAATTGTTATGATATTCTCTTCCTACAACCGTCCCACCTTGTCCCTTTTTAACTCGCATCAGCTCCCATTCTATAGTTTCCCTTCTGTTTATACTGTTCTCATCCAAATCGACATCTGCATGATTTTGTTCTAATACAATTATGGGTAACGGCATATTTAATCGAACGATACTATAAAGGTATAGGAAGTATTTTACGCTTGAGTGAGTACGGGGAAAGTGAGAAACCTGGTTTTCGCAAAAAATATCAGCCTAGAATTGAGCATCCAAATGCAGTTACTCTCATAACGATCAATTGATTTGAACCATCAGCAGGCGTACAACCCTCTCCTCCCACACATACATACACACTTCCGCGCGCACACGTACACACATATAACTGTCCAGATTATTGTCTTGTTTGTGCTGAATTTCTATTTTATATATTTTGAATTTGTTGACATTCAAAATGCAATGCACTCCAGAAGATGCATAGAAATTGTTCAGTTTTCACGAAAGAGAGTTACAATCGATTCGTTAAACAAGTAATTTTTCACGTCTCTTCCATCTAATGTTCTTGATTCGCTGCTGTTTGAAGCATGTTTTAAACATGCAGTTCAAGACAGGTCGCTATGTTTCATGAAATTGTTTAATTGATAAAACAAAGCATTACCTCCTACCTGAAGCCAAAGTCGAGTTCATGTCGTGCAATTGAATTGTGAAACAAACGGTGTGGAATCGCTCAGAAAAAGTTGATCATGTAGTATATAAGTATTGTGTGCTAACTGCAAGATTCTGGAATCCTAAAAAATGATTCTAAATTTGGCCCAGTCTTAGTAACGTAACAAGCACTATACACAGAAAGATGTATATAGGACTACACATACATGTGGCATTAAAAATGTGGTCCTCATTGTTAAGCTGTTTCCTCTCAGTATGAAGGCATATGAAGCGCAGTGCTTTTCAGGGAACATTGTTTCTCTGATATTTCTTCCACATTCGCATAATAATAGTGAAAACGCTCACAAATTATTTGTCACCTCTCTCCAGAACTCAACCTTCTTTTTCAGGTCCATTATCTTGATTCAATCGTAAATATAGGCCGACCGATATGTTCAATGTATTGCTTGGATGCTTCAGTGATCAATATTGCTTGTTTATATTGATCAATAATTATTAAGAAAAACTTATCACCTACCTAATTTTGAAAATCCAGCTTTCCAGGAGAAAATTTGAAATCTAAAATCAAAGTTTGAAAAGGCGTATGCCGAAAGGGTGATTAGCGTCGCGTCACGTTGACTTGAACGCGACCATTCGTCCAGTCAACGCGACACTCCCAACGCACCCTTTCGGTACAACCGGGGAGGGGCTTTGGACGAATGGTCGTGTTCAAGTCAACGCGACGCGACGCTACCCACCTTTTTGGCATAAACCGTTTGAAAACACCTCTCTGGTGAATGTGACAGGCTTTGTAAAGCATTCCCAAGTGTAGCCTTTTATGTACCACCGCCCAGCCATAAATAAGGCGAAACAAGAGGCGATATGAATTGTTATTTAATGTAAACTTTCCCCTAAGGCATGTATACTCATACGTTTATTCTTAGAATGGAACTCGCTCTTAAATAATTGGGTGTGGTGAAAAAGGCAGTTCATTGTGATTTGTTAAGTAGTATCATTCATTTTATAAATGTAATGCTTCCTGGGGAAAATTTCAATAGTTTAAACGTATTTGTGGCTTACACCCAGTCAATAAGATCGATTGATCGATCTTTAATTGAAAAACAAGTCAGAAAAAATCTTGGAACCAGCGGGACTTGAACCTGCCATCTACTGCTTGCCGGGCAGCGACTCTGACTTTTTTTTCAATTACAGATCGATCAATCGATCTTATTTACTGGGTGTAAGCCACAAATATGTTTAAACTATTGAAATTTCTCCCAGGAAGTATTACATTTATAAAAGTTATTGTCCTATGGCGGACTAATGAATATTAATAAGTCAGAATGAATTAGGAGAGCTTGGGTATTTGTTTCTATTCATCGTGACTGTGCCCTGGACCAGTGATGGTCTGGTGGTAGAGTCGCTGCCCGGCAAGCAGTAGATGGCAGGCTCAAGTCCCGCTGGTTCCAAGATTTGTTCTGACTTGTTTGTTTTTCAATTACAGATCGATCAATCGATCTTATTTACTGGGTGTAAGCCACAAATATGTTTAAACTAGTATCATTCAGTACTGTAATAGTGATATCATTTCAATTGTGTACTCTATTCAATGTGCAGCTACCATTCAGATGTATAAAACACTCAATTTGCCGTTGTATTATGAAGTACGACGTAATATAGTAGTTATAGTAGTCTATCTGGACAAGGATAATTAAAAATCACGTAATTAGTGAGTCATTCATGACTCTGGAATAACTCATGAATGAAACCTTCATGACTGATT